ACTCCTAAACTCTTGACCCTCTCACAGGGTTCAGTCAGGAGGTTTGGAGCTTTGAGCTTCTCTCTCTGAGCTTCAGGACCAATAATTAAAACCTCAGTTTTGCCCTGGTTGAGCTGGAGGAAGTTTGCTGCCTTATTGAAACTCATCATTACAGAAACACAAAAGACACATTTACTTCACTTTTTAAAATGTATTTATTTTTTGCTCATCACATCTACTCACTCAAGAACCTAGAATTCAGTTGGCAGGAATTTAATTTTTGGATTCAGTTTCAGGGACGTCCCAAATCTCCCTTTCAACCATTTCTTGTTTCAGATTTTGTTGTGTGCCGTTTCTAGTCGTTTTCACTTTTGTTCCACTGAATTGGAGTTTGTGGCGTCACTTTTATCGGACTAAAAAGCCGTTCTGCGTTGATCAGTTGAGAAGCGATGGATCTTTTTGGCCTCGCCTCGCACACAGGTGGGACTCGCTCATCCTGGGGTTCGGACTTTTTTTGAGAAACGCCAAATTTCGATGAGATTAAAACCGGCGGAACCTTCAAAACTCGATAAAGATTTGACTCCATAAATTTGTCAGATTTTTCGAGGAAGTCGCTGGGACTAAGCACTTTTACGTTTTTATGATTCGCCAAAAACTTCTGTACGTCTTTTCTGTTCTCGTAGATAGTTTCCGATCTTTTTTCAGCGTCTCGGTTTGTCCGTTTGGTCTTGTATCCGTCAGATTTCGGAGTTGGGAAATGTTTGCTGGCGTCAAATTTATCTATTTTTTCCGCAAAATTTGTCTCGTTCTTTATCGTTTGCTCTTCGCTGTGGCCAGGTTTGGAATCATTTACGTTTTCAAAAGATGCGCCAAAATCTTTCGTTTTTTTATAACTTTCTAACTCCGCTTTGTACCTCATTTCTTTCAGATTTTGTGGTGATTTTTGAGGGGTTTCTCTAAGTTTTAACCATTTCTTGATTTTCGCGCGATATTTCGATAACTGTTCCTCGCCGATTGGTCCGGCGAAGGGGCACATGACGTCGTAAACCAGCGGAGGGTCAGGAAGCCTTTTTTTTTCCAGAACGTGCTGGAATTTACGTGGATAAAACACTTCCTCTGGTTCTTCCACTTTCTTAGCGATATTTTTGCATTTGCTTCTTGCTTTTTTAGGTTGTGCTTCGACCTTAACCCCTCGCGTTGACCGAGATCCAGACATTTTAAGCTTGTTCGTCTGTGTCTAATCTTGAGTTAAACGTCGAATGATCTTTGTCTGCAGACGGTCTCACAGCTTCTACCTTAAACTGTTTCGGGACATCAAAGTCTTTGACTCCAAACACAGCTTTGTTTTTGAATTTTGTTTCCATGGCAACAGGTTCTAGTGATCAGAATCTGGCACTGGACGTCTAAATAACTTTTAACTCTGCTTTCCCTCGTGTGATTTTTATTTCTTTGCAGCGCCTGGATTTCGTTGTCTAAAGTTTTGATCCCTCTGATTGAAACACCCGCCGCAATTTTTGAACACATTTAAATTTTTCTGAGCCCAGCTTTTTGTTTAAAACCACTTACCATTTTCCAATAAAAAATGTTCACTCTGTATTTTCACCTTCATTATTGTTTTCACTACTGGCCATACATAGTTTGAAAGCTTAATTTATCAATAAAACAACCATATTATTCATTTTATGCCGTACAACGAGCCAAAAACACGATAACTTAAAAATTCACATCATAATCAAAGAATAAGATACGCGTTTCTTACCTTTGAGCCGGTTCTGTCGGTCCAACACGCGTTCAATCCATGAAAAGTTGTACTCAATAAATCCGTAATAATCCACAGAAAAAGAATATCAAGTTGTTTTTTCCATAAAATAATTCCATGTGGGTAAATAATCCAGAAAATCCTCGTCCGTATGAATGGATGAATGCGTGAATGAAAACACACATGTTGCCTTCTCCCTCTCTGAGTTCCGTTTCTCTTGGCGCTCTTGGGTGCGCTTGTTTTCCTCACACTCTTAGCTTCAAAATGAGACCCTCCCCGCTGTTGTCGGTGCCGGGGTTTAGCTGGGACAAGCCGCTGAAGAAGCTAACGCACCCACGTACTTCCTGGCTTTACGCACGCGTCATCAGTTTGTTTACGGGAAATCTCTTCAGTCATTGGATCTTCCAGAAAGTGATTGACATATTGTTTTAGCCAATCACCAGAGCTTTCAAACGGTGGGTGGGACATGCAGATAATCTTTGAAACGGACCCTGTGTTTACAAGGCGCCACAGAGACACAGAGAAGCAGTGGGGGAGGGGCCATAGTGGACAGATCTGACACTTGGAAGACAATTTTGGCTACTTTTAGTTTTTTTTCTTGAGAAAACATGCCTAAAGCTCAGAAGAATTAGTATTATAAATAATAATAATTAATTATTATTATATTATTATTATTATTATTATTTTGGCACAAATTTGGCAATCTTGTGCCGAATTGTCATTTTGTTTACACAAAGGCTCACAGCATCAAAACCCTTTGTCCTAAAGGTCTGAAATTCTACACAGTTGTTGCCAACAACTTGAACAATGAGTGTAGTGAGTCACAAATGCCTAGCATGAAGTATGACCAAGCTAAGGCCTTTATTTTTTTCTGTTTTTTTCTCGAAGCAAAAAAATACAATATTTAATTGACTGTACTGTAGGTTAGGCAGCACTCACAGTCTTCATGTACATATCTACAGAAACTAGAAGGTCTAAGCTTTAAAATGGTGCCTCACACAAGCATGTGGGTTCTAAGGTTTTCTTTTAATAAGCTATGGCATTTGGGTATGTAGTGCTATTGTGCACACGCCAAAATTAGGTGGATGGGAACAGGTTAATGTTATTTGCCTAATTTGAGCTTTTGTTAAATGACCTTTTTTGACTTTATTTAATTGAAACTTATTTTATGCGCTTGTCTTTGCCTTTCTGTTTGGTCCTTTACGCAGGTGTGTGTGTGTTTGCTGGAGGACAATCTGTGTGTCATTCGTTCATTAGTTTTTCTAAATAAAACAAAAAATTAGAAAACGAAACACTGAAAACACACTGAGACCAGACCGGGACTGAGACCAGACCGGGACCAGAGCGCGACTGAGACTGGGACCAGACCGGGACCAGAGCGCGACTGAGACCAGACCAGGACCAGACCGGGACCAGACCGGGACTGAGACCAGACCGGGACCAGAGCGCGACTGAGACTGGGACCAGGCCGGGACCAGACCGGGACTGAGACCAGAGCGTGACTGAGACCGGGACCAGACCGGGACCAGACCGGGACCAGACCGGGACCAGGCCGGGACCAGAGTGGACTCTGAGCTTTGACTCTGAGTCTCCGCGGGGTCCGAGTCTCAGCTTCGAGCTCCGGCCCTGCTGTGGGCTCTGAGCCTCCGGTCTGGTCCAGGTCTGGTCTCGGTCTCAGTTCTGGTCTCAGTCCCGGTCTGGTCCTGACCTGGTCCTGGTCTGGTCCTGACCTGGTCTTGGTCTGGTCTCGGTCTCAGTCCCGCTCTGGTCCCGGTCTGATCTCAGTCTCGGTCTGGTCTCGGTCTGGTCCCGGACCTGGATCAGTCCTGGATCAGTCCTGGTTCAGTCCGGCATCGCAGTCACAGAAGTCATGTAAACGGGAAACGTCCGTTATCCGTTTTTTCCATTTTTCATTTAAACATAAAATCGAAAACTGAAAAAACGAATCATTATCTGTTTTTTTCATTTTGGTTTTGGAGACAAATAATGAAGAAAATAGTTTTTTTTTTCCGTTTTCTTATTTTTGGTTTTATATTGAAAAACATTGAGGAGCTCTAGGTGTTTTCAGGCCGACAGAACCGTGGTGGTTCCGGTTCCTGCTCCTAATCTTGAACCGACTCATGTTCACGCTGGAAATCAACAACAACAGAACAAGTATACGGAGTTTATTAACAATTTTCTCCTACTTCAGCGCAGAATAGTGACGTTTGTGGCTTGTTGATAACGTGTAGGTGGATGAATGCACTTTGAATTTGAGTTTGAATTTATTTGTCCTGAGGATGAGCCCCTTGAGACGTGTCACCATCTCGTTTTCAAGGGGGTCAAAAGACAGATACAGAAAATCAACACAGTCACAAACACACACACAGTCACACTCACTCACGCTTGACTGTTTCACACATAATCAAACAAATTTTAAAGAAAAAATAAATAAATAAAAACTAATAATAAATAAATAATGATAATAATAATAACAATAATAATAATAAACACACACACAGTCACACTCACTCACGCTTGACTGTTTCACACATAATCAAACAAATTTTAAAGAAAAATAAATAAATAAATAAATAATAATAACAATAATAATAAACACACACAGTCACACTCACTCACGCTTGATTGTTTCACACATAATAAAACAAATTTTAAAGAAAAAAAATAAATAAATAAATAAATAAAAATAAATAATAATAATAATAACAATAATAATAAACAGAGTTCAAATATAATCACAGGATACAACAAGATAAACAACAAAATTCAACAAAATAATCAAAAACAATGACATGGGTTCTATAAATGTTGAACCAGAGCATTTTTAAATAAAGGGACAGAAGTTAAAGCTCTAATCGATGAGGAAAGATTGTTCCAATCAGAAGCAGCTTTATATTTAAATGAGTATTTTCCAATTTGTTTTTTGACTCTTGGGACGACAAAAAATATCTGATCTGCAAGACGTAAACTATAAGAGGATCTGAATGAAATTAAATACTGTTTAAGATCTTCAGGATAACTGAGATTAATGCATTTAAAAATAAATAATAAGCAGTGAAGTTGACGTGGGGAGGACAGTGGTGAGTTCTGAAGGGACAGTGGACAATGCGCTTTGGCCGTTCAGACTGAAGTCACATGTCAAAAGATCAGATATGTATCAGTTTCAGGAGCACAGATCCAAGTGTCCTGGGTCACATTTCACTTCAGGCTACAGTCTGAACGCAGCCTTTGTCTCTGTGTGTGTGTGTGTCTCCCCCTGCAGGTGTGTGTGCGCTGGTGCGGCCTGTTGGACCTCAGCTCGTCCTTCCTCCTGTCTCTGCTGCTCGTCTTCGTGGTCCTGGCGTCGGTGTGGTTGGTTCCGTTCGGGTTCTTGCGCAGGTGGAACTGTGTCCTGATGAGGGACGGGGAGGTGGTGGAGCAGCCCCTCAGGACGGAGACTGTTCCCCGGCGGCTCCTCGCGGAGGCCCAGGACTTCATCCACAGGTGGGACTCGCTCATCCTGGGGTTTGGATTTGATCAGTGTTTTACTAAAACTCATCTTGTTCTAGAAAATTTAAGAGTCCTGCATTCCACAAAAGTGAGTCTTGTCGTTGTATGGAGGATTTTTTTGTTTGTTTGTTTGTTTCAAATTGTCAATGAAAGTTCAAAATACCATTACAGAGATGCAGCAGCCTTATAATTATGATGACCAAAAAAAAAAAAAAAGATTGAAAATCCATAAATTGTGGACGTGGTGGGGGCAGATAAACATCAGCCAATAGATAACAAGGCTCCCTCTTTATCTATTGGCTGTTAGGTTGTCAATCAAACTCCCTACGTTTCTACTTTTCTGACTTGCCGACGCGCTGGCATTGTGTGGTTTATGTTCGCCTCTCACGCACTGATGCCGTTTACTCAACCAGCACAGCCGTTTTTGGCGTATTTTTTGAACTGTAGGTTCCTTTAATTTTGCACAAATTTTGTTTTAATGGCAGAAAAGAATTCACGACCTGTTCGCCGCAAAAGAAAGTCCGTTTTTGACGTTGTTGAAAGAAGAAGAGAAGGGGAAAAGGAGCCGAGCGCAACATTTAAAAACGGACAAACAGTCGCTGCATTTCTCATTCCTTGGAAAATCTTCCATACAACCTTTAAGCCACGATATAATGTTGTTCCCTCTTCAAAAACAGACCTGGAGTTGATCTTTGTTTCATTCACATGTTTGAGTAACTCTTTATTATTAGTTTGTCTACATCTTCAAAGCTCAAAACGCTCTGTTCCACCTTGTGATGTCATGTAGTAGTTTCCAAATTATCAGCTCCTTTTACCTTTTAGTTTAGTAGAGATGAGCAATTCCAGAGCTGAAATGATCCAAATGATTCTAGTGAGGCTGTGTGGAGTTTAAAAGCACATACATAAGAGCTTTAAATCAGAATAAAAATCTTTTAATTCTGAATAAAAATGAATTCTGCTTTAAAAAGACCACGTAAACATTTAATTCCTAATGAAAATCCACAAAACCGCGCTGTGAATCCAGTCTGAGACATTGTCTAAAAGTAAAAAGGATCGTAGACTGTATTAAAAAGTGGACTAGGTGAGTGTGACGTCACCCACAACGTTCAGCTCCAGTCAAGTGAAGCTCAGTGATGCCAGGGGTCATACGGCCTAATGTGACGTGGAGCGCAGACACAGGCAGAACATGCAGACTCCACAGAGAAAAGCCTGTAACCTTCGCTCCTCTTTCTGCAGAAACAAAGAGCGTCCGTTCCTGCTGTTCTTCTCCCTGCTCCACGTGCACACGCCGCTCTTCACAAACCCCCAGTTCGCGGGGAAGAGCGTCCACGGTCTGTACGGGGACAACCTGGAGGAGATGGACTGGATCGTCGGTCGGTGCTCACGGCCTGAGGAGCTCGTGGAGGTTCTGGAGTGTTTTTATTTGACGGTTTGTGTTCAGGTCAGGTGACGGAGACGGTGGACTCTCTGGGCCTGTCCAACCGCACCCTGATGTACTTCACCTCGGACCACGGAGGACACCTGGAGGACCGGGACCACGCGGGGCAGAACGGAGGATGGAACGGCATTTACAAAGGTCCTGAACTGTTCAGTCTGCTTCAGGAGGAACAGAAGGTTAAAAATAAAACAAGATGATGAACTTTTGCACCGTATATGGACTAAACTAGGACTGTACCAGGTCTAAACCAGGTCACAAACTAGGACTAAACTAGGACTGAACCAGGTCTAAACCAGGTCTAATCTAAACTAGGACTAAACTAGGACTAAACCAGGACTGAACCAGGTCTAAACCAGGTCACAAACTAGGACTAAACTAGGACTGAACCAGGTCTAAACCAGGTCACAAACTAGGACTAAACTAGGACTGAACCAGGTCTAAACCAGGTCACAAACTAGGACTAAACTAGGACTGAACCAGGTCTAAACCAGGTCACAAACTAGGACTAAACTAGGACTGAACCAGGTCTAAACCAGGTCACAAACTAGGACTGAACCAGGTCTAAACCAGGTCACAAACTAGGACTAAACTAGGACTAAAGGTCTAAACCAGGTCTAACAAACTAGGACTAAACTAGGACTGAACCAGGTCTAAACCAGGTCACAAACTAGGACTAAACTAAGACTGAACTAAACAGGTCTAAACTAGGACTGAAAGGTCTAAACCAGGTCACAAACTAGGACTACTAGGACTAAAGGTCTAAACCAGGTAAAACTAGGACCAGGTCTAAACCAGGTCAAAACTAGGACTAAACTAGGAACTGAACCAGGTCTAAACCAGGTCACAAACTAGGACTAAACTAGGACTGAACCAGGTCTAAACAGGTCACTAGGTCAAAACCTAGGACTAAACTAGGACTGAACCAGGTCTAAACCAGGTCTAAACTAGGACTAAACTAGGTCTAACTAAACTAAACCAGGTCACTAAACTAGGACTAAACCAGGTCTAAACCAGGACTAAACTAACAGGTCTAAACCAGGTCACAAACTAGGACTAAACTAGGACTGAACCAGGTCTAAACCAGGTCACAAACTAGGACTAAACTAAGACTGAACCAGGTCTAAACCAGGTCACAAACTAGGACTAAACTAAGACTAAACCAGGTAAACCAGGTCTACTAAACTAGGACTAGGACTAAACCAGGACTGAACCAGGTCTAAACCAGGTCACAAACTAGGACTAAACTAGGACTGTACCAGGTCTAAACCAGGACTAATCTAAACTAGGACTAAACCAGAACTGAACCAGGTCTAAACCAGGTCTAAACAGGACTAAACTAAACTCTAAACGAACCAGGTCTAAACCAGGTCTAATCTAAACTAGGACTAAATTAGGACTAAACCAGGACTGAACCAGGTCTAAACCAGGTCACAAACTAGGACTGAACCAGGTGTAAACCAGGTCTAAACCAGGTTTCACGCAAGACTGACAGTTTGAAGAGTTGTAGTGTCTCTTCCTGGTCTCTAATTTAATCAACTAAATTTCCCGATAATATGACTTATGGTCCAGCGTAATTTATATGTTTTTTTTTTCCTTCTACATTTGCCATGTTTACATGAAAGCTTTAATTCTGAATAAAAATGTATTCCACTTTAAAAAGACCATGTAAACACTTAATTCCTTATGAAAATGATTATTTGGAATTAAACTTCTGAAGTAAACTGTCCATTCCAATCCAACTTTATTTGTTTTGCACATCTTATAGACAGGACAGTTTCCAGGGCTTAAAAAAAAATAAAAAATCAGCAGAATTATGTTCTAACCATGAGGAAACTAATAAAATCAATAAATAAAATAATAATAAAATCAATGAACAAAAATAATAAAGTCAATCTATAAAAGCAGTACAAAAAAAACTCTCCAAAATCCTGGTCTTTGTCCCTGACGTTTGTGGAGCTTTTGAGGAGCCACGATGGACGAGTGTAACTGAGATGTTTGTTACTGCACGAGTGAAAACTGCAGGCTCCACGAACAACTTTAATGTTCAGTTTTATTTGCAGACTGAACAAATCGGACGATAAAATAATAACGTCACTCACAGATTTGAGACTCAGTGCAAAACGACGTCAGTCCAACAGGTGGAGACAGTGAGTGTGTCACATGCACATCAATAACCCGGTTATTCTCCATGTCCCGGTTCTGTCAGTGTTCGTGTTACTGTGTTTACATGAGCACTGAGAAACCGGGACACTCATATCCACGTGTACATGATCAAATGGAGTGTCCCGGTTTCTTGACATAATCTTACAAATGCGCAGGTGCAAAAATTAACTTAAATCAATTTCATAAACCAGGAAAAATACAAACCGTGAGCTCCTTTAGCATAAGAAGCTAAGGAGCTACGAGATCTCCCACAATCCACTGTGCAGATTCTTCATTCAAATCTTCTGCATAAATAAACTCAACTTTACAACATATAAACCATAAACACTATAGACACATCAGCCCGTTTGATCAGATCATTCAGCTCTGATCACATTTGTTTACGTTTTACAGAAACGAAACTTAAGACCGTTTGGCTAATTAGCATAAACTGTTAGCGCTGATAAAAACAACTCGCTCCTTGCGCCGCTGATGTGATCAGTTTCTTTTGGACTAAATGACACGACTCTGTGGATTATGTGTGTTATTTCTGTGACAGAAGAGGTGCTGATGATGGTGAGTCTGTTCTGTGCATATAGAGTTAGGAGATAGTTCATGTTTTAGCTTTTCAGCGTCACACGAGTGCAGATGTCGTGCACGAGTGCAGATTGTACGTGTGCAGGTTTAGCGCAGCTCTTTATTTTACAGTCATTTCACTCGTTTGGTCACTTTATTTATGTTGGTCACTTTATTTATGTCGCTACTGTTGTGGTGAAAGGCTGGAAAGTGTCTTTTGGACGCATGCGACTCAACTTTATGTTGCAGTAACCGGGATACTGCGTTTACATGCCACAAGTATCCGGTTACTATCGGAATAAACCAGCTACAGTAACTCGGTTTCTAATAACCGGGATTACTGCCATAACCGGGTTACTGAAACCGGGTTACTGCGTCTACATGCACCATCAAGAAACCGGGAAACTTAAAAAACCCGATCATAACCGGGTTATTGATGTGCATGTAAACACACTCACTGGTCTGTCTTTTAAAAACATACATGTTTATTGTTTTGTGTCACTGTCCTCGTCTGTGTTAAAAAAAATCCTCCATGAGTCCTGAATAAAGATGAACTGAAACTGAATTTAAATCTTGAAGTTGTTGTTTTTGTTGTTTTTGTTTCTTTCAGGTGGGAAGGCGATGGGCGGCTGGGAGGGGGGGATCCGGGTGCCGGGGATATTCCGCTGGCCCGGCAGGTTACCCCCCGGCAGACAGGTGCACGAGCCCACCAGCCTCATGGACCTGTACCCCACCCTCAAGCACCTGGCCCGGGACACCCGACCTGACAGGTACCACGCACCTGCCGCTCCTGCCGACTTCCACCTGTGCTCACCCAGGCTCCACGGGACGGTTATTCCTCAACTGTTTCTAAAACCTTTGAATGTTCTGGCCTCACGTTGCGTCTCGGATTTACTCCCCTGAGGTCCGAGGTCCAGCTCCAACTCGTGGGGCCTAAGACGAGACTTAAACCAGGAGGACAGGAGCTTCTCTGTGGAACACTGCAGCCCCACAGCCCCACAGTGAAGAGTTTAAGTCTCGTTTTAACACACACTTTTACTCTCTGACTTTTAACAATGAGCGAGTTGTTTGCTCCTCTGCGTCTTTTATTTATTAATTCTTTTAGTGTATTTTATTCTTTTTAGTACCATATTTTTTGGACTATAAGTGTGACTTTTTTCATGGTTTGAGTGTTTCCTGTGACTTACGTATTTTCCAGAGTGTAAGTCGCTCCAGAGTATAAGTCACACCAGCCAAAAAATGCACAACGAAGAAGAAAAAAACAGTCGCACTTTTTGGGGAAATGTTTTTTGTAAGTTGGCAAGTTCTAGTAAGCGGACGAGAATCCATGACCGGTTCACCGCAAAAGAAAGTCCCTTTTTGAGGTCGCTGAAAGAAGAAGAGAAGAGGAAAAGGAGCAAAGCCGAACTGAGGTGATTCTTGGAGATCTCGTCCAGCGATGGTGCGACTGAAACAGACGAAGGGTCTAAAAAAACTGACGCGTCGGTCGCTCAATTACTTCTAGACAGGAAACTTCAACAGTAATTCTGAACGTGCACAAGAAAAAATCCTCTATACAACCTTTAAGGAGTTTTTCGCAGCGTTTATGAAGTATTTTGGGCTGTAATCGTAAAAAATAAAAACTTTGTGTGAGTTTTTGCGGCGTCCCGTCTCCACGCGGGGGGAGCGGTCCGGGTCCGGGGCGATGTTTTCAGGCAGACGGCACAAACGCACGAGGAAATGTGCGCGGCTCCACATGTGGTTTATTATGTGAGCTGATCTGTGCAAACATGCAAACAGACGTACGGCCTTCGCAATGTGTTTCCAATGAACCCCTCCTCCTCGTCCTCATCTCCTCCTCGTCCTCCTCCTCCTCGTCCTCCTCCTCCTCCTCCTCGTCCAAAAGATACTCCAGATTTTATCCCTTTCAGAGCGTCTAGAGCACAGGTGTCAAACATGCGGCCAGATCCGGCCCTCCAAGACCTTTAATTTGGCCCTTGACTGATTTTCTACTGAAATATATTAATGATATTTTCTACTAAAATGGTGTTAATTTTCTGTGGTGTTTATCACAGCAGCGTCTCCAGCGTCTCTGTACGTGGCCCCTCCCACCAGAGCAGCACAAATGAAGACTTGTCTCTTTCCAAACGCTCTTAAAGGACGATCGTTTTGACTGTTGACCGTGACACCCTCATCAGAAAAATGTCCAACATGAGAAAAGTGGAGCCGAGTGCAGGATTTTACAACAAAAATTGACTTATTCCTGTTTACAGACAAGTTCATGTTAAAACTTTGTGTTGAAATTGTATTTTTCTTAAAGTTTCAGGTTGTTCATAATATTATAATATTTTGTAAAAGAAAGAGTTCATCAATTAAAAAAGATTTCTGTAATAGATTTGTGTTTCTCTGCACAAATATTTGAACTTCTTGTTATTTTTGGGGTTTATATGACATGAGTTTTCTGATCCGGACACTTTGGATCAAAGTCGGTTGGACACGACCCCCGGAACAAAATGAGTTTGACTCTCCTGGTCTAGAACAACCAAATACACAACAAAACCTGCCCATGTTTCTCCGACGCTGCTGAAGTCGGTGACATAGTGTGTCCGGTGTCATGGCGGCGTAGGTACTGTTGCCATGGCGACACGTGACGGTGCAAAGCCTCTATTGAAGCTGAAAAATGTCTAAGAGTATTTCGTGTACTTCTTGTCTGATTGCGTCCCGTGTTTTTTTGTTTTTGTTTTTTGTGGCAGGCCTCTGGACGGACACAACCTGATGCCGCTGCTGGAGGGAACGGCCCACAGGTCCCAGCACGAGTTCATGTTCCACTACTGCGGAGTTCACCTCAACGCCGTCCGCTGGCACCCGCCCGGAAGTCAGTGCACCTCCCACCTCCCACTAAAACCAACAGAAAAGTTACACAGTGCATCTTTACGTCCAAACCTGAGCTCGTAGAAACCGGTCGTGTTAAATCAAGTCCAGGCGCTTTAAGACGGACGGTCCGACAAACGCTTTTCTTCATCACGTTTTCGCCACGTTCACATCAAAGCTTTAATTCTGAACAAAAATCATTTAATTCGGAATAAAAATGAATTCCGCTTTAAAAAATCCATGTAAACACTTAATTCCTAATGAAAATATGGAAATTTTTCAGAATGAAAACTTAATTCAGAAATATTCAAAAATAAATTCAAAAATAAAATTCTGAATTAAACTTAATTTCGAAGTAAGCAGGAGGTTTATTCCGATTTTAAAGTGGAAGAAAACGGATGGAAATCAGCCTGAACTCCTTTCTGTGTGGAGCAGATCATAATAATGTAAAATCTGTGAAACGGTTGAACAGGGAAAGTTTATCATAACGTCTGATGTGGCTCAACTGAGCAGGGTTAAAAGTTCAAACTAAAACATGAATCTGACTCATGGTCTGAAAGGTGAAGTTTCCTTAAATCTGTTAATATTTTAATGTTTTACTTTTCTAAAAATCAAAAAATTTCAGACTGCACCTGAAGTTCCCAAATCCGATTTTTTGCTTCTATGTTCCTGTATTTGATCTTTTAATGTCAGTCTGAACCACACAGATCAGATTTTTTCAAACATGACCCAGGACACTTGGATCTGTGCTCCTGAAACTGATACATATCTGATCTTTGACATGTGACTTCAGTGTGAACGATCAGGTCACATTCATCCACCTACACGTTATCAACAAGACACAAACGTCACTATTCTGCGCTGAAGCAGGCGGAAACCGGAACTGTAAAATCTCCAGGTGCTCGATGCTGCGTCCATGTTTGGACAACTTCCGTAAACACAGAGACGCTCGCTGCGGTTGACGTCGTCGTGTCTCCAGTGTCACATGTGGGACACTTTCGGGCCGTTTACCGTTCACACTGGAGTCACAGACAAGTCGCATTTAATTGGAAATGTGAACGACCTCGCAAAAACATCGGATTTCACAAAAAAATCGTAATTGAGCATTAAGCCCTGCAGTCTGAACGTGGCCTTATAAACCTGCTTGTGTGTCTCCAGGTGACTCCATCTTCAAAGCTCACCTGTTCACCCCGAACTTCTCCCCAGAGGGCGCTGTGGGCTGCTACCACACTCGGGTCTGCATGTGCCACGGCGAGCACGTGACCCCGCAGACTCCGCCCCTCCTGTACGACCTGAGCCGCGACCCGTCCGAGTCCGTCCCGCTGAGCCCGCAGACGGAGCCGCGGTACCACGAGGTGCTGCGGCGGGTGGACGAGGCCGTGCGGAGACACAGGCGCTCGCTGGAGGGGCAGGTCCACTCCGACGGACCCTCCGCTCAGATGTCCTGGTCCCGGGTCCTCTGGAGGCCCTGGCTCCAGCCGTGCTGCGGGACGTTCCCCTTCTGCGGCTGCGAGGAGGAAGAGACCGGACTGTAGACGCCACATCCTCCTAAAGACAAAAAGACAAAAAGTTTATTCCAATTCTGTATATAAATATTTTTGGTGATTTTCTGTCTATTTGAAGGTAAATGAGCACCTTAGTGTTTATATTTTATTCATTTAATTTAGATTTATTCTTTTAGAGCATGTCCTCTGTACTGGAGTTAAATCTGTGTGAAGTTAAATGAACAATAACACTTTTTTGATGAGCAACGTTTAAATATTGAACAGCAGAAACCTCAGAGCCTCGGGGATAAACAGAATTTGTTTGCAGCTCTGTTCCTGTTGTTGATTTATAAACAGTGTTGTGGAGTAACAGATTACATGTACTGGAGTTATGTAATCAGAGTACAAATGATGAGTAACTGTATTCAGTTACAGTTACTGTTTCAGTGAGTGGGAATTGGATTACAGTTACTTTGTTGAAATAAATGGATTACACAGAGGGATTTAACTGTTTTCACATTTTGGGCTAAACCATTTTTTTTGTTTTGTTTTGTTTGGTAATTCCACTCACTGCCAGAAACTAAACCAGGTCTAAACCCAGGTCCAAACCAGTTCTAAACCAGGTCTAAACTAGGTCTAAAACAGGATTTAATAGGTCTAAAACCAGGTCTAAACCCAGGTCCAAACCAGGTCTAAACCAGGTCTAAACCAGGTCTAAACCAGGTCTAAACCAGGTCTAAACCAGGTCTAAACCAGGTCTAAACCAGGTCTAAACCAGGTCCAAACCAGGACTAAACCAGGACTAAACCAGGACTAAAACCATTTATTAACCAGGTCCAAACCAGGTCTAAAACCAGGACTAAACCAGGATTTAACAGGACTAAATCCTGCTGTGTGGACGTGTTTCTTTGTTTTCTATAAATAATATTTTTAATTTGGTTCAGTAAAATCTGGACTTTTTATTTTCTTTTATCAGACAAAACTTCTTATATGAAGATTTCCTCGTCTTTTTTTCTCTACAGCAAATCAAGTAATCCAAAGTAATCAGATTACATTACTCACTTTTAAGTAATTTAATGGATTATGTTACAAACTACATTTTGGGGTGTGTAATCTGTAATCTGTAGGGGATTACATTTTAAAAGTAAACTTCCCAACACTGAATATAAATATGTGTTTTATTCATCCATAATTTAACATTATATTCCCCAAATAACAGACAGAATTGTGGATTTGCCAGGAAAGAATCATCCTGGTGCTTTTCCTTGGTGCAGTAGCAGAGACGCACCAGCAGGGGGCAGAAGGAGACTGGGAATGGATCAGAGCCGTGTGAGTGAAGTGAAGAAGAGGAGGGGGGTGTTTTTAGTCCATTTTTTAATGATGAATCAAGTTTATTTTTCACAAACTCACACTTACAGGGACCATATTTTGCTATTTTCTGATCTCTGTTTTAATGTGTTTTTTATTTTAATTATTTTTTTTATTAAAGACAATAGAATAAAACATTTGGCAAAATACAATAAACATAAAAAACAAAACTCAAAAACATGAAATAATACATTCAATAAACACAAAACTACAAAACTCCCCAGTCCTTAAACCATCCTTCTCCAAACACACACTGTTTTTTAAAATAAACACCTTGTCTCTGTTCTTTACTGATATTTTTTTCACATCATCATTTCCTTTCATCATGTTTTACTTTTTACTACAATCTTGAAGCAGAATTTTAAAGACATTTTCTTTGTTTTTTCCCCTTCTTTATTTTCCTTTTAAAATAAATACATTATTATTCATTAATATTAATATTATAAATTATCTTCTTTTTTTAATTAATTACTCAGTGCATTTATATAACACTTGTTTTGGACACTCGGAGACGTGTTACTGTTACATTTTCTCTCAACACTCTGTGGTGTAAACTACTGTAGCCACAGCTGCCCTGGGACAGACTGACAGAAGTGAGGCTGCCAATCTGCGCCATCGGCCCCTCCCTAACTAAACCAGGACTAAACCAGGACTAAACCAGGACTAAACCAGGTCTGGAGCGTTTGAACCAATCAGAGCGAGTGCAGTTACTGCGGCTCAGAGCGAGGCTTAAAAACACGCTCTCCTCGGGGTCACATTGACCCGAAGACATGTTTTTTCCCTTCCCGCGCTCTTGGGGCGGGTCAATCAGACCCAAAAATTTATTTTCAAATAAATTCTCACCAGGCGAGAAAATAAATATTTGGGTCTGATTGACCCGCCTCAAAAGAATGAAAACAAAAAGATTCTTTGGGTCAGTGTGACCCCGAGGAGACGTGAGGCCCATTCACACAGGATGAGTTTGAGTATTATCTGTTACATCAGAGTTTCTGGGCCTGTCTGGACTTTTAAAAACATGGAGGAGCTTCGTGGATGCTTGTAAACACCAGCAGGGGGCAGAGTTTCAGGGTTTGAGGAGGGAAATGGAGGATTTACAGGATTTATCTAAACATAAATGAAACAGAACAGAAACACGTGTTTTCATCAGGACACGACGTTAGAACGTTTATAAAATCAAAAGTGAAAAGTAAATTTATCTTGACGCTTCAAATTAAATTCTTATCCCCACAGGAAACTTTACGTCTTTTGTTAAACGCTACGTCCTTGAGAAACCTGTTTGTTATTGTCGTTTCCGTGGTGAAGATAAGACTGGAGCTTCGTCTGTGGTCAAACGAGGAGACGTCGTGTTGAAGCGCACACACCTGCGCTCCACATAACGAAGCTCTGACACAACGACGTTCAACCGTCCCCGGGGCCCGACCGCGTCCAGGAGAACGCTCCAAAAACTCTCTCCGTAAATCACAGGAGGCCGCGGCGCCGTAACGATGCACTCATCTCTGGAGTCGAGCGCAGGAAGTGAGGAGCGCGGCCAAAGAGCCAATCAGGAGCCACGCTGCTGAAGGTCAGAGGCTCTTATTAGAGACTGAGATTTTCACAAACAAACAGTTTGTCACAAAGTTGTTCATTTTGTCTTCTTATGTACTTTAACTACTTGAGTTCTTTTTAAAGACGATGCAGTAAAGTGTGTTTACCTTGTTGACATGTTTCTGCTGCATCTTCAGATCTGTCCTGGTGTTGGTGGTGACGTGTCGTATATCAGCTGTTGTTACTTCCTGTGGGCGGGGTCAGACCTGATGGACCTGCAGGTCGCTCAGACTGACCACGCCTCCTGTCGCCCGGTGTCTCTGGAGGAGAGTGTCCCAGGTGTGTGAAAGGAGGAACGCTCCGTCATCACGGTTAATCCTGTCTGTGCCTCGTTTCCTGATTTCATCATCGTCCCTGATGCAGCGTTTGAGCTGAGCCCCGTCCTGATCCAGAATGTGGTTGTTTCTTTTACACCAGTGGTGCTCAATACATCGATCCTGATCTACCAGTCGATCTCCAAGGTCGTGTGGGTAGATCGTCGTGTCTCGTCTTGGACTCGCGTTTGGACTCGGTCTTGTCTCTCACTCGAGGTCTGACACTCAACAAGTGTGATCATATTTCATTGCGGCCGCTGCTGTTGGTAATAAACTTGTAGCGGGTGCAGGAGCGTGTGGGGCGTCTCAGTGCAGCCTGTGCGCTCATTTGAAACCCGCGGAGACTCTACGGCGCATCACAAACACACACGCTCCCTATGCACGGCTCGTCTGCGACAGCGTGTGCCCTCGTGTACCAGCGTGCATCACAGGGCAGGTTCAACTTCCTAAACATCCTACCTGTCCATCTGCCTCACGTCAGCACGCCGCCCCTCGCCTTTTCACGCTCTCGCTCCTTCCTGCGTACAGCCAACACAAGCCCCTCCCACAGTGCGGCTGATTAGAAGAGCAAGACCAAACGTGAAGCAAAAACCAGTCTAAATTTGTGTTCCAGTGTTGGCACAAAGCAGGTCTACAGCATAGAGCGGATCTACAGAACAGACCTACTGCCACATTTGGCTGAAGTTTGTCTAACAAAAGTGACAAATGCATCTGTGTTTGTCACGATGTGCGTTTGGTTTGGTAAATGTGCAGAGGCTGGTAAATATCACTGCAAAACCAGAAAAGAATGAAACTCCAGTTTGGAACTTTAAAAAACAGGTTTAAAAATCTTCCTTCACTTTTTCCACAGTTTTGTGTAAAGTGCCAGAGGAAGTTCTCTTAAAGAAGAGGTTCTCAAACTGTGGGGGAGGGTCCAAAAAAGGGGCACAGAGTGTTTCAGTGCAGTTTGTTTGACTTTGTATCAGGTCGATCATTTTGACTTGGTCATTTTGTAAGTAGGTCACATGATGAAAAAGTGTGAGCTCCTCTGGTTTACAGTGTCTGATGTGGTGGATTTGAGGTTTTCCTGTTCTGCTTTGTCTTTTTGTGTTCTGGTGAGTCTCTCTGATGTTTCCTTTTAGTATTCCTTTTGCTGTTCCTTTTCCTCAGTCTGAGCGACCTGCAGGTCCATCAGGTCTGACCACGGCCTACAGGAAGTAACACCAACACCAGGACGGATCTGAAGATGCAGCAGCAGAAACATGTCAACAAGGTAAACACACTTTACTGTTTTGTCTTTAAAAAGAACCCAAGAAGTTAAAGTATGTCACAAAAACGCTTTACAGAACATTATTTATTCACTCCACACTCTGTGGTTTAAACTAGAACTGTAGCCACAGCTGCCCTGGGGCAAACTGACGGAAGTGAGGCTGCCAATCTGCACCATCGGCCCCCCAAGACCACCAACACTCACACACAACACTCCACTTTCATACAAGGCGATGTGGTGAAGTGTCTTGCCTAAGGACACAACAACCGTTTCTGCAACTGGCGCCTCCTGTGGCTCCTGATTTTCCCAGTGTCCAGACCAGGACCTGCTGAGATCTGACGGGATCAGGCTTTGGCGACAAAATAGTGAATCCAAAACTCCAGGATCATGCAGAGTGAATTCAAACGAACATTTAAGACCAAAATGACGACTCGACAGCAGCAGGTCCAGGGAGGTGCGAGGTCGACACACTCACCCGAGACTCTGCAGCTTCAACGCAACATTTGGAAAAACTTCACCAACTGGAAAAAACAAATTTGGACTTGGTACCAAAAAACGTAAAGAGGAAGGATCTTGTGCAGGGCTTAAGGATTAACACACGTGTCCGAGCAGATTCCAAGACACAAAACGACCTCTGTTTGGGAGTGAACAGCTCCACCTGAAAACAGAACAAAAATAAAACAGTAAATATAAAATGTTGATCTGTTTTTAGATCAACATTTTATATGTAATGTTTTATTTGTCATTTGTTTTAATGTTTCTATACATGCTGTGAATATGTGACGTTAACAGCAGGGAGACCAAACGTCCGTTTTTCCCTGGACATGTCCGTGTTTTGCGTCTTGTCCTGGGCGTCCGGGTTATTTTTTTAAGTGATGGAAATGTCCGGGTTTTCATTACAGTTCATTGGGAGCATTAAATTGATCGGCTTTCGTAGCATCTGTGACTCAGAAGGAGCGAGACACAAACAGTCGGTCAGTCTGCAACATACCGAAGCGTAAATGTGGATTTAACAAATGACATGTACAAGAAATGCTCAGTTTTCCGTCCCGGTCGAGTCAAGTGTGAGTCCATGTGCACAGGTGGAGGTGAGAGGACAGTGTCCCTCGTTTATCGCGAGGGTTATGTTCTAAAAATAACCTGCAACAGGTGAAATCCACGAAGTATCAACTTTATATTTTACAATTATTCTGTCTGTTTTAAGTCTGTAAAACCTCAGCACAAACTTTATACACTTTTCTCAGACAGGACACTTACAACACTTTTTGCATCCTTCTTCAAACTTATTTCTGCTGTCGTCCTTTTGTTATTTTCCTCCTTCTTTATGTAACGAACCCAAGATTAATTTATTCCGTAATAGAGCCCAACAGCGCAGAGAACTGCATGGGGCCATTTTTGGAGACCTGCAGTACAGGACCGCACCTGCCTGTTAACCCGTAATTATATCAAGCTGCCTACACCATGGACTGAACCAGGACTGAACCAGGACTGAACCAGGACTGAACCAGGACTGAACCAGGACTGAACCAGGACTGAACCAGGACTCACTGTCAGGACGGTCTTGGAGGTGACGCAGGAGAAAGGACCGGCTCAGCTCCGCACCTCACGGAGTTAAACGCGGCAGTTGCCT